GTTTTCCGTGCCTTTCTCTTTCAAATGTATACATATACCCAAAGAACTTAAAGAGCAGTCTGCAGGCTCACCTGGTAAAGTCGATTGTCTCTCTCATGAAATCCAAGGATTGTTACAAGAAAAGCTCTGGTACGCAAAAGCAATCCAGGCTGCGTCCCCCAAAGCCTTACCGCAGTAAAGGGCCATCCTCGTTAAAAAAGAAGCAATATTGTGGTTTATCAAGTAATAGTACGTTGTTTAGAAATACCCACGTTTTAGAAAAGCGGACAATTCCTAAACAGTAAAACATCGGCGTTACTAAGTAAACTCGTGTTTTAAATATAGAGAAAGCCTATTCATGCAAAAAACGGGCGAGGAAAGCAGTACAGGTAGAATTACGTTTGAAAATAATTACTTTATGAAGGTTACGGATACAGATACTTCCATATTAAACGCAATGTGAAATAAAATTGTTATCAGACCGTTGGAGTGTGTATTCCAACATGGTTTCCTGAGAATTGTCAATTGTTTCTTTGCTGCGTGCATTGCTTGAGAGAAGTTAGACTAGGACAACTAGATTTTCGCTTGATTGCGCCGATTGGGCCGTCACAAAAGTAAGACATTTCGTAGGCTCACATGTGGACATGCCGGTCAGTGACTAATAAACATAAATGGAATTGTGCGGTGCAATCGTAAACATACCGTTTCGGACATTCTTTCTTATGCAGCTGTTTGTTTGGATAACGGTTTTAGAATCACACAAACATGTCAACTCATTTTCAAGAAAAATGAAATTCCACAACAAAATTCACCAAGTAATATGCTCATAGTTAACTAAAAACCTTCTATAATCAGTTACCTATTGAAAAAGCGCTTTACTTGGATATTCCGACGTCGAATATCTGCGTCCTTTACATTTTTCGAGGGCTAAGTTAAGGTAAAAGTGGGTATGTTTTATCAGTTTTTTGAATTCCCCGAAAATTTGGAATAAATCCGACGAAAATGAAAGAACTCACTTTTGTTTGTATACTGGAGCAGTTTTCGGTATATTTGTTTACTTTCTAAGATTCTTACTGCACGAGTGGCATAATATATAGTAATATTTAGCGAACACTGGTAATCTTTCATCCGTTCCGTTTCAAGTTTCCGTATTCGTTCAGACTCCACGGTAGATTGCAAATGTTTGGACATCTTTCGCATACGCCGTGACGGAGACAAGTGACGGCATTTCGC